GAAATGATCTGTAAAAGTCTGATCGTTGTTCATTTACTGTTTAATCGATTTGTATCAAGATCTTGTTCATGATTGGGGGCGAGGTGTATGACGAATGCTTACTTCTCGGCAGTGGGACCGAGCAGATTTGTACACCAGGGTTTCACCGTGCAACCACATCAAACAGAGTTCTTCTAAAAAATTTTTCTCTGTTCCTCATCATTATTAAGAATTACCTTATAAGGCCTTTATGGGCGCACCTTTGTGAGCAATTTATCCTCTACTGCCCATTGTTAGGGCCGTTCACAACTTTAGCTCCATTGTTTAATCCTAATCTTGGATAGAAATTAAAGGGTCAATGATACCCTGATCTGACTTATGTCTGATTACTTTTCATTTATAGCCTGGAAGTAAGACATGGAAATAGTTTCAGCTATAATTTAGCATAATAAATTTAATTGTGTATAGTAGTAATATAGTAGAAATACAATATATTAGTACAATATTGAAAGAGTTTATTTTGCATATGAGACCTGAGTCTAATCTTATGCATTCCTTTATTGCGGATCGATGATCTCAAATACTGTCAGATTGGATTATTCATCAGCATAGTATATAATGTTGTATTTCATGGTTGTTTAGTCCAACACATCAAATTATTTCTTAGGTTAATGTATCACAATTTACACTAAGCTTCCTGACAATTCAAGATGTTAAATTCAAGAATTACCTTCATAGAAGATTTTACAATTATACGAGCAAGATGATTGGGGTTAGTTAAGCTGGCAATGTACATAATTGAGGCAGGGCATTCAATATTGTAATTTTACAATATTAGTGTGTATAAGCTTTAAAATGCTGCAAATTTTATATAACAGAGCCAACATATTTAATATTGCCATGGGATGGCAAGTCCCCGTTCATCGCAGTCCGCTAATTTTACTGCATCTACTCTTAATATTATCTAAATGTCTAACGTAACTTAAGTGACTCAAAAAACACAAACGTTCCATCCACTATTTCCCATCAAATTATTCTGAGAACACTGGTCAAGTATTCATCGCGCTGGTAATTATGATATCCTTCACTTGTACTTGAACATTCAATAATCAAAATTAGCTCTAATGTCAAATTCCCTTGATTAAGTTAACCGTTAATGCAACCTATGATACGCTGATATTCTTCTTTTAACCCTTCATTCCTGTGCTGCATTTGCAGCGATCTCTTACGTTCTCAATTTACTATTCTCAATCTCCAAACAAACAGTCTTTTGTTAAATTTGGCTTTAAAGTTCTTTTGATGGAGATTCGACTGAATGACATAAGGTTGTGCGACCATGATGACACCGACTGCACGGACACCAGTACCACCGAAAACTCTTCTGAGATCGCTCCTCCACAAATCAAGTACGAAAGAGAGTTCATCGCCAAGTTACTCCAACAACAAACCAGTCATGTTCTGTCTGAGGCAACTGCAGACCATAGAAAAGACCAGGCTGGTTTCTTTAAGAAACTAAAAGGAGACGGTGAGAGTCCAGCCCCGCCGGTGAAGAAGCGGGCGGTGCACAAACCTAAAGATGAAGGAATGATGAAGAAGAAAAAACCTGTGATTAATACAGTAAAGGGAAAACAACCCGGCCCTCCAGTAAGTACATATCCTGGTACATGCATTATCATTATGTACTTATAATTACGTCTTTTAACAAATAAATAAGTTATTATTAAATTGATGGTGGTTAGGTCTTTACTCAATTAGTGCCCAGTAGATAGGTTAATTGTAGTCTAACCAACTTTCGGAGTAAACTTCTATTTTTGTATTCTACTGGCTTATTGCTTTATATCGGTACATCTTAGTTATCATTACTGTTGAGCAATCGATATGATATAAATATACGTACATATAGGGGGCCGTATTGTAATGATGCTGCAGCAGTCAGCACATTAATTGAGTATATTCAGCTGCGTACGCGGTTACAAGTTCCTACTATTGTTTATTGAACAGTGTATAATTTGGTTACCAGATCTATCTGCAGTTGTCTTTATAGTTATACAATACATATACCAATTCGAATGTAAATTACCGTGAAGTTACCTAAATGGATCAGCTCCTAGTACGGGTAACTTTGTGAACAACCCTTGTTAAAGACATGACACTCAGTGTTACTCACTAATCATAAGACCATAATGTCCAGTTAAAGTTTACCCAGCACGATTTATTAAATTAGGCCTAGGGTAAATTCTGGGGAATAATCATACGTTTAAAATTAGCAAATTACCGTAGAAATATAAAGGCTGCAATAATTTTCTATTATATTTACTCAGCGCCGTTGCTCACTCGTCACTTCTAATTCCCAAAAGTATGGTCTGCTGCGAATGTCTGTATCAATTTCAAGCTTTGGTCACGGGGATTTCCGGGTTCGGCCTATTTGAGATCATTGTGCATCAAATCAGAGGCTTGTTCTTCTGGATAATCCATTGCTTCCTCGTCACTCGACATGGATTTATCGAACCATTATGCATATCATGAGCACTTTGCTGTTGATGCCGTAATCGCGAAATGACCAGTTAGTCCGCAACATTTTCTCGGTAGCTCGAATATTTCGATCAGTATCGAAATCCCTCTCCACAGGGCCCGGTAGTAGACGCGGGAGTTGTTATGTGGGAATCAGTCGGCTGGTGATCCGGGAATATTATTGGAGATAACTATACTAAGCACCACCAACCTTTAGATCTCGCGTTAGCAAGTTGTGGTGTTGTCTTTAGCATACACAGCAAGTTGACACTGCATTAACTTTAATAGTGCTGACTCCTTGTCCAAAGTACGGCTGTCGCGTTTTCCGGTTTCCCAGCTTGACAGATCCCCAAAAACTCTCTTTGTTAACCTCCTGGAACCACACTCCACGTGGTGTGAAGGACCACGCCCAGTTCTACAGATAGACGCCGCCCCGTCTATTGTCCAGATATACGGGACGTGCCCTTTGTCACGACTCATGAGTCTACTTCAGTACCTAGTTGTGAGATGTTCATGTCAGGTTCTTAGCTACCTCCCATCTCTGTTTCAGTATCACAGTTCCATTATTCGTCAGCTCTTGTTTTATAAATATCGCACACGATAAGTTAAATTGAGTTGCTTTTAACTTTTTAACAAACGTAAACATAAAAAGTTTGACTAAATACTGTTACATATAAGGATTAACGATCCAATATAACACGGACGTCTTCTTGGCACCGTATTTTGTTACGAGTATGCATTTAGTTCGCATTTTGCTACGCTTTGATCGACGAGAAACTCGGTACATCAAAAAACACACACTTTGGGATAATATTTCGGAAAATCTTTTGTGGAAAGATAATCAATAATCATCCAAACAGTTAATGACTGCCTATAATACCCCTGCTTTGTACAGAGGCGTCTAAAGGGTCGGCATTTTGAGGGAATCTCATTTAATTGAGGGCAAAGGCCCGTTTTCCTGCCAGCGAAGAAAGACTAGGAGAAGACTCTAGCGACTCGTTATCGTAGTTAAACTAGTAGGATTGATGTTTAGCAGTACGTGTTTAAACTTTAAGCCATGAGGCAAAAAGTAACGTTTTCATTTTCCATTTCATCTCGAGGCCTTCGTTTAATTTAAATCAAAGTGCCCGTAACTCTTGTATTTAATGGCCTACGCTTTACTTAGCTTACAAATTTGGCGCTTGAGCTTGAAACTCCACAATACGGCCACTAAACACTATTTTCGTTGTACATATTTAGAGAAATTGTAAGCTTTTCGAGGCTATAAAACAACAAACTATAAACAACAGTTAATATTTGATGACTTATTTAAAATCATTTCCTCATTCATAATTGTTCCAAAACTGCCTGACTGTCCATTTCATCTCCAGAGGTAGAATTATACGAAAGTCAATGGCTGTACGATATTGAGATACGCGTACGTATGGTCGATCTATGATCTGCCTGCACAGCTGCAAGTCATGCTATTTCGCCTCAATATACCATGGTTTATACCGCTCCCTGGAAAGCTTTCAGGCTCTCGCTCTGTGTCTCAGTGGCGACTGCTCCCATATCACGGTAGACCATGGACTAACCCGCAGATCTTTAATCATGTGATATTTGCTAGAAGATTCCCCAAGAATTGCGGCCCTCTCAGATCCTCTGATTCTGCCTCGAATCACGCGGCGCCATCCTCCTATTAATTGATCATTGTATCTTGGGTATATATCTTTCGGCCTAGGCGCCACTATATACGTGCATAAATAATTTCATTGCTAGGCTTTTGATACACAATGAACATTTCATATTCATTTAAATTTGTACTCCTCAATGTTAAATCGGTAAGGGCTGCAGTTATTTGCATTTTGCTTTCGTAATTCATGTAGATTTGCTCATTATGGTGCCGATCTAATAGGAGATTTGTAATAGCTTGTGCCTACCCTTCATCGTTTATCTACTTGGCTCTATTATCTAAGTTTAATGCACGGATGATGACCGTATCTTTGTTTACTTGTTAAGCAGTCTCGCGACTCTGACCTTCTTTCAATATTCTGGCAGACATTCGCCAGGATTGGCTTCATTGCTCAAAAAATAAAGCATCCCACCGGCTTTTATTCGGCAGTTACGTGCTGATTTGATTGCTACTTTGCCTACTTCTTGATGATATCGCGTCTTTCCCGTCGTACCTAATAAGCGATATTAAACTTCTCAATACTCGCTCGATGTGGGTGCAGAAAATGATAGCTTAATTATGTTAGAGCCGTGTCAACGGGCAACAACATGTGCCTTTATCACAGCTTCCAGCCATAACTTGTGACTGTCGTAGTTGCCGTAGTTTCTTGCAATTGTTGGCACATCATTTATCTCAGCTATCTAGAACTAGTCTGATAGTTGTTTCCAAGTAATGACCCTTTCTAAGTATTCACTTAACTTTGGCATTCCGTACAATCTTATCTGCACGACCTTCTTTGCTTATTACAACTGAACTTTCTTTTGAACATTTTTTACCTCAATTTCATGACACAACCCTCAGCTGGGTTTTAAGGGACTCTGTAACCGTGGTGGCAAGATGAAACCCTGGTAACCCTGGTAACCCTGGTGAAACCCTGGTGTGCTACCGGACCCTGCCTCCCTCTCATCATGAACATTGTCGCGGAACACTTTTGGGAGTTCCTCCAGAAAAACCCTAACATGACTAAACCTGTGAATCCGATTCTTCCACAGAGCGATCAGTGCATCATGTTGAACACCATGGCTGAACTTTGTATTGGGGGAGAGCTGTTGTGCGAGAGCATGGAGCCGGACATGTCCATATGTGACAACGAGAGTGCAGGGGGCAGCGGGACTTCGGGTGGTAGGGCCAGAAATGGGAAAGGCAGAAACAAACGATCAGGGAAGGGTAAGGGGGGTAGGGGAGGCATGATGAGGAGCGGGATGATGCGGGCAAATATGATGAAACATGGAATGATGGGTGGTGGTATTGGACCTGGAAAAGGCGGAAAAAAAGGAGGGCTGTCCAAGATTAAAGAGGAGGGCGGCGATTCGGACCATCATCAGGCGCCCAGGAACATGCCTGCCCAGAAGAAGCCTAGTACTATCGAATGCTTTGCTGAAATCGTAAGTATACCCATTTTATTGATATTTTCTATAATATGCTTATTTTCAGAGATATCTTTATGATATACAATCATCACTAAATTAATTCACAGAAACATATTACATAAGATGTGGAATCATTTTCAAGAATATATAGCAATTTCATCATTTGATAGAATTTTTTATCCGATTAACGTGTTATTTCCGCTCCGCCACTTTTCTTAAGCATCTTATTGTTGAAAAACAGGAGCAGCCTGCGAGAGCTCTTGGACAACTCTTACAGTAAATTAGTTAATTAGTTAAACTGCTTGCTTATAAGCCGTGGTTGTGAGCCGTGAGGCCGACAGATCATTATGAATGCTCATGTTCTTGTGCGTTTTGGTCTGTAGTTACCAGTCAACGGGTCAACCGGTTAATATGGGAAATTTTCATTGTTATATTATATATCAAGCTGCAGAACTAAAATCTCCGGAGTTGAAAAGATGTTTAAATGTTCCTGGTACAAACCGTTTATGTTGGGTATGTAACAATGAAATACTGTAATTGTTATAAAAGATAACCATTGACCATGTTGTATAGAATCATCTTAAATAACCGATTGTATGTAGTAAGATTGTACAGTGAACTGCATAATCGTTTGGATGGAAAACTTTATTGCGAAGAGTCGCATGAAATTGGGGGTCATCGTAGTTACATCGTCTTAGTTTCATAACAGTAACACGGTAAATTAAGCATTTTCTGGGATTCTTGTTTTACCAGGAGATTCAGGGGGATTGCAGTAAGTGTATAGTGTATTTTAATGTAACGAAAGTGTATCACAATCAAAGTTGGCACTATGTTATTGTTACTTAGCGTGTGCTTATCCGTAACGTTCGTACGCATGACTTGACCTGGACCGTGAAACGTTCCAAATTAGAGATATTCATAGTAGTATTATATGATACTAGAAAGCCCGTGGTAACAGGGACGAAGCTAGTAGTATTCTTTGAAAGAAAGTTTTAATCGCATCAAAAAATATCCATCCCAACCGAAGATACAGCCGATTTAAATATAAAACACTTTAAACACAACGTAATTACCACAAAACCGATCAAAATGACGTTAAAACAATCTTTGCACGTGCATATGTGCATTAAGACACCGTTGCTATGGAACCTTTTGGTTGTTACCTTAATTCCTATTTTTCATCTAATTTGCACGTGGGCGGTCGTACATACATTCTACATCAGAAAGAATCTTTTGAATTATAGTAGAGATTAGAGATATTCATAGTAGTGTTATATGATATTTGTACCTCTGTAAACTAGTATCATATCATCAAGTATCAAGTGACCTTATCACTTAATCTTATTCGAATTGCACCTCTCCCGGCAAGCTTATAATAAAAGAGTGTAACATAGCGGTGGAGTATTATAATAGCACTTGTATTAGCACTTGTCCTTACAAGAAGAGCTTTTGTGGAGATTAGAAATTGCAATCACGATGATAACCGAGGCTGATGGGAATTGTTGCTGTACAATCTCCTAATCAGTGCTTGTTGACATGTTATTTACTGAAGTCACCGTATAACCAGAACACTGCTTATCTTGATTAGTTATCGTCCTCCAGATAGTTGATCAGATTCTAGCTGGACTACGAAAGTAGATGTGATGAGTCTGGTACGGATCAGGCGTTACTAATGACTCATTTGGAACAGACGTTCTTATTGTCTTGGTCTATTGTCTGGTTATTATCGTACTTTTCGGCTAGTAGTGCCTTATCAGAACGATTATAATACTCTTGTGTATGTTCGGTGCTGATCCGAAATCGGAAAAGAAAAGACTGAAAAGGATTAAAAAGGTTAACGGAGTAGAAGAGGTATGATTATTAAATATTAATCCGACTTTGAGTTTGAGGCAATTAATAAATAGGCACATAGCTAAGTGATGAGGTCATTCAAACAGGTCTTTTAAATCTGTTGATCCTAATTTATCCGTGAACGATGATTGGTTGCTTCTGCAAGCTCACACACATTGGCTTAGCGTAGTTGATGGATGATGGGAAACGCCGTGTTTATATTCACTCTTATCTATCTATCGATATCAAACTTAAAGAAGTCTACCGTAGATTCGGTCAGCCATTAACACACACCTATGGAAGGTGTATTGAACTTAACATGTTTTCGAGTGTGACTAAGTGTGAGCAGTTGCCAAGGTTTAAGAGAAAGACTAATGAGCTGTCTTCAAGAAGAGATCAATGCTTGGTACTTTAGAGCTCACTGATTAAATACTGTATTCCTACTGAATGGATTGTTTAATGAGCTGAGAAACCTCGTGATAATCCCACCCTCCTGGCGCTCTCCGGTCAGATGGGTGTGGTTAGTGCAGTGTCATAGTGAAAACATCTTACCTTAATCCCACTAATGCTTTGACAAGAGATATTAAGTATAACTTAATCATAAATTAGTTCAATATAATGTTACAATCTGCATCATGACTTGCATGCCGCTCATAAGCAGACAGCTATATGCAGTTGCAACTTGCAAGATTGGATTAAATTAGCTTTTTCCTCACAATTTCGATGTTAAATGTAGTTGATTAGATGATAAGTTAATGGATGGTGTTTTATATTTGTCGACAAGTTTGACTGTTTAAGCTTGAATTTTTTGGCGTAAAATTTTAATCTAAACATTCAATGCTTCTCTTGTACTTTTTGTAATAATGTAATACTTTTTGTAATGATATGGTTGAACAATTGATAGAGGCGATTAAATAACCTTATTCGAAAGCCGTTCAAAATCAGAATTATACATCCTTCACCACGTGAACTTTTTTCTTCGTAGCCATAATACTAATAATGGTCATGGTCATGAATCGTCCTGTATCCACTGAATTCTATAGCGTATGCCGTCCATAAACTTAAAATCATTCCACTTAAACATCTTAACTGCTTGTCTGTAATGTCTGATATGACAAGAGATCAGAGGAGGGTTTGTGAGAGTTACATTCAGGTAATCAGCGTTTAATAAGAGTAGAACCATTAGTTAGGTAATGTGAAGTAGCACTGAAGTTCAATGTAGAGAGCAAGATACTCCCAGATCTTTAAGAGGTTTAGAAGAATGTTGACTCATGTACAAATATGATATGGGAACGTAGTTCTATCGTCTTAATAGAACTGTGACCTTTATTATTTAAATAGTTAAAATTAAATGGTATTACATCATTGATCGACAAGGATCCATCTTATTTAACATTTTATTTACAAATTCATTGATGAAATACAAATGACAATAATGGTGGTGACAAATTTGGGGAAATTATTTGCTTAGAATTATTTAAGTAACGTGAACAGTGCAGAAATGTCATTTTTTAGAGAGGCTTGTTATTGATGAAATGAGTTTTTGGAGACATTTTTTTTAATTGTTAACTTTGTGATCTTCTTGGGCCGGGACACAAAAATTGTGATGATTAGCCAATCGTTCAAGTAAAAGTAAAAATTGTGTCTCATCAGCATTAAGCACTAGTAATCCGATCAAATAATTATTTTGCAGTAAATTTATCAGAAAGAAGTTTTTCCAAGATACACTCTAGTTTAAACCGGGACCTTCACAACCAAATGTATACCAACATTTACAATTGCTTAATAATTGTTAAGTAATCACCAATTTCATGATTACCATAATTTTTGGGTACGACTTATACTTATAGTTCCAGATGAAAATTAAAATATATGCCAAGCACAAATCTTAATGTTTGGTGCTAGGAACTGCTCTGCGGGTGTTCTTCTGTTGTCGCTAAATGTTATATTTGATATTTTGTATTGTAATTTGAGTTCGTGACATTTGCTTATTCCGCACGTGACTTTACATTGCCAACTACAATTTATCTTTGTGAATCGGGTCAGATTTAACTCTAGACTGGTGACCAGTGAGGTTCAAAAGCGCCGGAAAATTCCGAGACTCATCATTAGCGTCATTAGCTTTGCTATCTGTAATCACGAGGTTCATTTTCAACTCATGGCCATCCCATTTCCTACTTGGGTACTGACCGTACCAATGTCATTACTGGCATTTGTTTTTAATTACAATTTCAATGATTTCCATCAATGTCCCCGCAATTTTTGATGAATTCTTAAGAAATTATAAACGACGGATGTGATTTAACCAGCTGATCACTGGAGATCGTAGAATTATAACCTTATCATGGTATAAAAACCAGTAAATTCCGTGGTTATAATTACAGTCGATTCGAATTTCCTTACGTCGAAAATTCGACATAGATTGATATGGTCTAATTATTAAACCGGATGGACCGGTAATGGACCATTAGTAAAGAGCTGACGAGTGATGGGTGGGCGGCACCAACGAGCATCCTCCTAAACGAAGTACCAGCGAGGCTTACTAGGCCGGAGACTTGTCACGACACATAACATCACCACACCATGATTATATTTATAGTAGCAGTTGTAGCCTCCCTACAGTAGTGATGCTGCTACCGCGGGGTGCTTCCAGCGTGGCCTTTGTTTGCACCGTACCCGGCAATAATCACATTGTTAATCTTTACCTAGGCACTCCTCTCATCACAATTTGACTTAAATGCTCCCTCTCATTGGACAATCGCTTTCCTAGAATATCAATCTTCCTGTGTGAGCTGCTATTTTGCTTGCCTCCTTTTCTATGAATTGGCGTCAGCTTGTGCCGCAGTCCACTACCTTCAGCGCTAATCGTAACAATAGTTTCTGACGATCAGTTGATTAGTAAACGACTAACTTCCAGCAGGAGGGATGCCGCGAGGTTTTGGCGGTGGCTTTAAAGGGGGGTTTAAGACCCCCCAAAGTACAGGAGGTGGAAGAGGGAATAAGGCTATGGGTATCAAGGAGAGGGGCCCCAGGAAGAAACCAGCAGGTAAAAGAAAAGTTGACAAGGATGATGAAGAAATGGAGCTTAAGTCTCCGGAGGATATGTTTGGTGGTGGGGATGATGGTGGGGAAGATGGAGGCTTCGGTGGTTTAGGATCTGGAGGCGTAAGTACCATTCTATCTTTTAAAAAGACACTTTATCTTGGATTCAACTTTTAATTACATTTACCCTTAATAATTGCTCCATAGGCTATAAATTTACAGTTCTCTGCTGGACCACGCGGAAAAAGCACGCGCTCACGTGCCCAGCAATTGTTCGATTATCTGACATTGAAATCCAAGATGTAAGACCACGTGCCGGGTAGCGTCGCTCAACCTCGCCGCTTTGGACAAAACTGTACTTGCAATTACTGATTAAGCCAGCACAAGTTCCCCTGGGTGGCTTTTGTAGTCCAGACAAAGTTCATTAAAGCTTAATAGCTTATTTTATAGCAAATCATTAATATGTAAAATCACGTCTAATCCCCTTTCAATTTTCATAATCCGTGCATTAGCCAGATTACTCCGCCCACTGCCACGACATTTTTGATTGTTAGAGTTAGTTAAATCCTGAGTTTCGTATGTCGGAATTAGCTTCATTTAGTTAACAAACTCTTGGGTTCATAGCTTGTGTTTCCCATCCTAAATGGTCACATCAAACTTCAAAGTTTTAGAAAAGTAGAAAGTCACCAATGATGGCGAGTTCACGGAATCTCAGTTGTTTTGATTAGCCAGTACTACAGGGTTTGTGAGCGGCGGGGATAGATTGAAATGGTGCAGAGGAGCAAGATAAGATCGGAAGTTAGTCATGATAACCCACTGTAAACCGGGCTGGCGTAATTGTTTCCGACGTCGCCCGCTCTGATCTAACCGCCCTCATATTCGAGTTTGTTTCTAAAAAGTTTCCTTCTTTCAGTTTATCAGGGAGTATCGCTGTAAGTTTAAAGTGGAGTTCTCTAGAGAAGTCTCTGAAAAGCCGTTATGTACAATGCTTTATAGAATTATGCAAAACAGTACTTGACATGCAATCGATTGTGAACCAAAAATACATGGCCTCCCGGGCCATGCTCACTGTACAACGGGTGTGTGCCATTTATTACTAGAGAATGACGGTTCTTCTCATTTTATCACACACATTTATCGCCTAAATTGTAGAACATTGATCATGGTGTTCTAAATGTTAAATAGTCTCATCCCTCGTTGTCATATGCAATTATGGAACATGCCGGTTGCAGGAGGGACTGTTGAGGATTACACATTGCATTGTTAGGGAAATCATTAGTCCTGCACTGATCACTTCCAAGCAATGTTATATTGATTACTGTAAATTTCTTAGCTTTTGCCGCCGATTAAACCAATTAATTCATAATTTTACGTTCCAGTCAAAGCCCGCCTGCATTTACATATCCGCCAACCAGTCGGGTGACTTCTTTTACGGGCATGTCGTGTGCCATCTACGAAGATGTTCCTTTTAACTGTCGAGTTTTGTTTCCGTTTATTTCCGAAATTTCTGTTTGACCTCCTGTTTGGTGATTTTGACTTTTTATAGAAGATTGCCCAGATCTTCCATACAAAGCTGAAGCTGGCTCCAACCTATGACAGAAGAGGTAAGTGATTCAGTAAATATTGGGTTATTATTATAGTTATACCAACCGTTGCTGATCTTGCTCCCGATACCGGTGTAGCCAATTATAAGCCAGGTTTTTTTTTGAAGCACTTAGCATAGCATAATTATGCCGATTACCAATATTAATATCCTTATGAAGAATACGGTACTAGACGATAAGTTGGTCGGTAGCCTTTAATCGGTCATATTCGATATCTATGATAATCATGATCTAGAGTGCCGACATAATTCGGTAGCTTTTGAAGAATTCGCGGACGTTTAATCCCTCGTTACTTTAACTTATTTCGTATGTGAATTTCAGCTGTATTTTCTAGCTTACAGGAAACCATTTTATAATAAATTATCGTTCATTAAAAGATTAAAGCATTAAGAACATTGTGGTTTTGCAAGACAACATCATAGCAAAGCCATTACACAAAGCATGGAGACCTCAGCTTTCCATTAGAGGGTTAATACTTTTAATATATTGGTCGAGTTTCAGTTATTACAAACTATTTGAGTGGTCCAATGGGATCCACTACTTTGGAATTCATATCCAGGTATCCTGGAAATTAAGTGAATACTGTATATCATCTCTCTTCAGACGCATGAGCGGCTTATCTTTGTAAATGTAACCAGCTGAGCGTCTATCTTGTCATGTTTTGTAAATGGACGTAAGTTTCTTACAGCACATATTATTATTATTTTTAATACGAATTATTAATTATTATTTTTAATCGACTTGAATATGATATCATTTGTATCTCGATCGAGCTCAAATCTGCAGCTATTCTGATCTCGATTCCTCAGGATGACGAGGATGGACCATCTTTGAAGAAGAATAAAAAATTCGGACGAAATTTCAAGGTCAGTGACACACTACACAGGCTAAGCTCGTACTACACTGTGTTTCTTAACATCTCAGTAAAGCTATTTCGCTGGACCAAAATTGCTACATAATTGGCAGGTTCTCTCACCCAATTCCATGCGAAGAGCTGAGTAATAACGAAATCAATAGACTGTATTGTAGACTGATTATCTAAACTATGTTTAAAGACATTCTGTCCGAAGACAGTATTTGAGTGGAATTAGTCGTACGACAAAGATATGTCAGTAAACAATTCCTAATCTATTCTCCCAAGCATAATAATGTAATAATCATTCCTCAGCGAATTTTGTTTTGGCATGATTTGAATTGTCGAATCAATTTAACCAACTCCATTGTTGTCTTAATACAGTAGACGCTTTGTAAATTCTCAGAGAATTTAGATGGCCGTTGTTTGGTGAATGGCGGGTATTGTTTGGCCGTCGCGTGACTAGAGCTACTTTGTTCTCCTACGGCCTACTTTAATCAAATTATTTACTTCAAACACAACTTGAAAATAGTGGTTTATGATTTTCGTTCGCAGTTGCCCTATCATATTCTATTAATTCCTCCGAGCATATTTCGTTTGTTTCAACACGTACTCACCATGATGCGAATGCTGATGGGAGCTGGTGGGGGAGCGAGGGGTGGAAGGGCTGGTTCAGGTGTGAAAGCGCCCAAGCCTGTTCAAAGACGTAGTTGTAACAGCAACGGCAAGAGACAGCAAAAAAAGGAAGATCTGAAAAAGACACTTCTTGATGAGGACGATGACGATGTAATGGATATGGATATGGAAGATGTAGGTTGTTGAAGATTCACTTTACTGTGACTATTATAATTCAAGTACCCTTGTTTGCATCCTTGCACGCCATAATAAACGCGCAATGAACGATGCACCCTCTCAAAATTTCGTAATTTCACCTATATTTGCACGTCGGCATGCTTTTGTCAAGGACACTCCATGGTGTTAGTCAGTATCTCAGACTAATAGTTACATGTTCGTAAGTTTCATATTTTCTCTATTGTTCGCTGTCCTCTCCCAGTGTTACTATTCCCGTTTTACGTCCTTAGTGAATGCTAATGGTTTTGTTACTATTTCCAGTTGAACTAGTACCATTTTTTCGTCTGAAGGTGTTGTTACGTCTCAGTTGAACCTCTGAGCTTAACTAGCTACAATCTACAGGGTGAGTTGAAAATAGTGTGTAGAAAGTAAATGGCTCTAATTTTTTGTACATGGGGTGATGGAAGTTAATAACTTTCAGAACACCCGTACCCAGTTGTTATATGCTGTCTAAGTGCTCCATCTCCGAAGTAATTATCAAAACCCCGAGTAAAACCAGGCAGGACGACATGCCACTTGATGACTAGCATTAAACCAGCGATGGCCTGGCTTGTGCTGCCTGGATAATATATTACCTAAATTACCATGCTAAATTAAAGCTCCCTGTATTGAAATTGGTAACAAACACCTGCCCTAACAAATTCCTGTTACATATTCAAAGTTGCGGCCGTACCAAAGAGAGAGTTATCCCTAGTTAGTCTAGTAACCTGCATAATTGTACTCACACTGAACCATCTGGATTACCAAGTGTAACTTATATGGTTATTCATGAACCTGTCCCGACGCTCAATGTTCATGAGTGATACCCCTCATTCGGCTAACAAGGTAATCAGAATTTAAGGAAAGTCAGACTACGTACCACCTTGAGTTTAAACGCTTTTCACTCTCTTTGAATTCCCTCTAGAGTCCTAAACGGAAATGGCGTGTACTTTCCCTATATAAGGGTACTGTCTGAATCCGGGATATATTTTGTTTTGTGGCGGCCCCTTTATGTGGAATGTGGTGAGAGCAACCCAGAAGTTCAAGCAAGGTCCAAAAAAGGGAGCAGCGAAAAGTTCCGTTCGCCGAAAGTCAACAGTTAAAAAACCTGATGACGATGATTCTGCGGATGAAGCCGGGAAAACGATTCAAGAAATAAACAAAAAACGAAAAGAATCTCAAGCTGAGGCAGACGATAATGATGTAAGTCTGTCTATGCTATTGCTTCCAATTTTTGATCTTGACACGTAGTGCCACAGTAATTCTTATAATAGATCCGCCGGACGTTTATAAATCCGATCTTATGATTATTACAAAACAACATTCATTCGCTCGTTCATAGTTTTTTGTTATGACTTGGAATCGAACAAGAAATTTGTTTGTAGCTAACTAAGTTTTCATCGTTTACCGGTCTCCAATAATCTTCTGTTGTCATGGCTTTTGGTTTTACTGCTACCAGACTCAGCAGCTCGCCATAAAAGCACAGCTTTGACCGCAGAATTTGGTAAGCCCGCTTCCACTTCATTTTAGCAATTTAACTTGCAGTTTAGTTAACCGACACTGATGACTAGTGTAAAGCGTACTGAGTAGTCTGTATTGAACTCCGTAAGCTTGCTATTTACTACATTTTAGTTGAAATTAGTAACGTTACATTCGGACCAACCTTGATTTATCCTTTAACGTTTGCTATGTTTCTGCGTGCTGTACTTGGAGGAGGGGGAGGAGGTCGGCCGTCTCCAAGATCTGGAGTTTCTCCACGACCTAGCAACTCGGCTTCTCGAGTCATGAAGCGTACGGGAAACTCCGCAAGTCGAGCAATGAATATTACCAAAACCACACCCCAATCTACAGTGAAGCTAGGAGCCCAGTCTACACGCTCTTGTGCGCATAACGATAGAACTAGAAGTAAAGATGACGATTCTCGAACTGCTAAAAAAGCTTCCGACTCCAAGAATAACCCTCGCTCAACACGGATTGATTTAGAAGATCTCGGCGATGTAGATGAGTCACCTGTAAGTTTTAGATACCTAATACTGTTTATTTATCTATTCGGGCTGACACCCACGAAGCACCCACGTAATCTCCGACCAAATGATAACAATATTGTACCACAATCGTTCAGATAAAAGTTCTGTTTTTCTTACAAGTATAATTTCCGTTATACAGTATCTGTTGGTGGTCCAGTGGGTTGGGATGACTCACTACAGCTAAATACTAATACCCGTTGAGTGGTTAAGGTGAACCCTGGATTCACTAATTACAGATTATAGCTCAGTAACTGGACAATGACATAATATCCATTATTGAGGAATTGCTGTGTGATGCCTGGTTATAATCGTAAGTGTAAAGATCATACGTATAACACAATAAGTATAATTATACGTTATATATAGTATAATTATACGCTAATTATAGTATAACGTACTGATTGACAACAATACTGGAGGAGTTATACTATTATAAGCGTCAAATAAAATACCAATTACTGTCACGTTATGTAGTTTACCAGTAAACAAAAGGGATGCCGCTTGCTGTCTATCAATGCATTAATTAACCATTAGGTCCATATAAAGATCAAAGTGTAGGGTGAATGTTCTGGTTCATTATTATATTTAATTATAATAATGCTGTTCATTGTCAAATATCAGGCACCAAGTTAGTATTTTATGCCAACCAGTTTACTACTTGACACCAAGTTACGTACCTACTAGTACTACCTATTCACTGCATAGTTTATCTGCTTTGTTATTTGAACGGTGCACTCTAATCGGTAACACGATGCTCCAAACCATGCTGAAAGCAACCCTGCAAATGAGCACAGCGGCACCTGTTGGTACAAACAGGCTTGGCATGAGAGGCTCTATCTCCGGTGTCTTTGATCCATTCAACTCAAATATGAGGAGGAACACCAATGCCACCCGGAATAATAGAGGTTCTGTCGTGAACCAGCTCCTTGGTCGTCCAGTGAGTCGGAGCCGGTCGACAAGACGAACTGTAGACGGAGATTTTGGGGATTTGGAGGGCGGTAAAAGGCACGGAAAGGTTTGTTTTGTAGAATTTATTTTAATTATTCAATGCATGGAAAATTGTACATGCGAGTAGCCAGGACAGTTAGATTTACTGGATCTTAATCATTCTTGAATTCAAATCTAATATCGTGATCAATGCGGTGGAGTGAGAATTGAAACTTATCCTAAAAAATTTGAATCGGTTCCAGCGATAAAATCTGGCAGACTATTCGAATAGAAAAGGAAATGCTATTTGAAGTTTGAACATTTTGATTGAGTAAAACCGATCGATCATAGATCAGAGAGCTGTAACGACGTCAACCGTTAAACTAAACAGTGGTGCTGTTGAATGAGGTGAAAGCTTAATGAAATGAAGAATTTCCTGCCAAATTTGTTGATGTAAATGCATAATCTCGTCCAAATAGTCTACTCAAATCATTCATAAATTCTGAATTCCGGTTAGTTTTTGTTTGGCCTCATCAAACCACCATGAGCTTGAGACGTAGAAATGTCACTCGTACTATCTCTGTTGTTGAGGAGGAAGATGAGGAATCCTCCTCACCCACAGAGCATGTTAACTCACCTCGTCCCTCACCTCGTCCCTCCTCCTCCACTCTGCAGGACAGAAACTGTAGCCTTTCAGTCGCTCTACAGCGCTTTTCTGAGTATCTTGTTCACAAGATCGAGACAAGGGATCACTCTGACAATGATGATGATGAGAATCAAGAGCAAGCTGTCAGAAAAACTGCTGGTCAACTGTCTAAAACTGTGAACAAGAAAATGAACAAGAAAAAGAAGCGGGAGCGAAATAAAAGTGGTAAAGAAATGCCCAGATCTAGTCCAGTCACTCGGTACAGTATTATTGGTTCATCTATCAAGTTCGAAGCACCTTCAAGTTCTCAGTTCGTTCCGCATGGTGGTCTAATAGAAGCTTTGACTTCAGCTCAAGACGACTCACCAGACTTTGGTGACAGTAGTAGCGATGGGGGTGAGAAGAAGAAAACTGGAAAGCAAAGCACCGTAAATAGAAACACTAGCTCTGGAACTGGAAAAACATCAAACAGTAAAGATGGTCTTTCGAACATGAAGAAGCCAAACTTGAACCGAACTGGAACTCAACAGAATTTGAGGAGGAGAAGTACTATGACGAAGAGTACTGCCCAAGCGACCAGTGACCGACAGAAAGGTGGGCCGATCCAGAGAAGACCATCACTGATGACCAAGTCTGCTGCACCAGCAAATGAGTCTAAGACTGCTGCACCCAAGACAGCACCTAAAGCTAAGTCCAGCACTGGAGGAGCTAAAATGGGAGGGGTAAGATTTTTGTGTTTTTAAAACAGTTATCAACTTAAAATTAACTAATAACCATTTAGCATAATATGAACTTAGCAGCAGTTCTGTTTAACTGTGCAAGGAAATAGTATCACCACTAATGCCATGTTGCGGCAATATTTATATACGTCATATCATAATTTCAAAGTTAGACTAGTTAAGTATCATCGTTAGTTGATGCACTTTCCTAATCAATGATCACGTGCTAGGTCTGTTTCGTGTCAGCACTCCTCGAAAGAAAGTGCTCCAATTATCGGTTATTTTCCTCCAATTTTCGTGGTCGGCTCTGAGGGAAATATATAGATTATAGAAACGACTGCAAGTCTGTAGGCTAGCA